ACTAAATATATCGGCGATTATATCGGCTATCGGCAGCCCCAACTCCCATTATATCGGTTTCATACCGGCCACAACAAAATCCATATCGGTTGGGCTCTACTTTATAGTTTATGCAAATGAGCCATGTGGTTTTAAGTTTCGTTTCTGTAAAATGTAAACAAATGTGCGCCTGAAGCCAAAATGCTGCCAAATTGCAGAGGTACAAGTATTTTGGGAGACAACTCACTTGCCGTCTTGTCTTGGTTTCCCTTATGAGCGTCACGTGACAATGGAATGAAACTAATAGAACATCATCTCCCTGCGCAGTTAAAAGAAACATTATAGACCACTATTGTTTTAAATGGTGATCGCATTAAATTGAAAATACAACCATACATTAATTTGTGCTGAGCAAACAAATTTAGGTACCAATAAATTATAAGATTATATTTGGTCCTTATGCGCTGCAGATTTTTTTAATGATGGTAATGAAAATTATACCGTTGCTACTTTTTGATACCGCGGGATACCGTAATACTGTATTACCAACCAACCCTAGCTCCAGTGACCAGTGTGAAGTTTTGCTTTGATGGTAAGCACAACTAGCATGCTAACTCGCACTTCCTGATTATCTGACAAAACCACAGACAACACACAGCTGACTTATTTTGGCCTCATGAGCAGCCTATACCATACATCTGTCCTGGACTTGTTTTGCTCAAATACATGGGGAAAAATTGGATACATGACCTTTAATCTTCTTCATTTATTTCAATGGTATTTCAGAGTTGTCCATCCATAACCGCTTTGACCCATCAACCCCTCATTATACATCAAAACAAGCCTGTTCCCATATATGACCCACAGCTTGTTGTAGCTCCAATACCAACACCATTTTAAATCATGTGGCTTCTCCCCACTTCAAACTCAATTTAAGCCCTGTTTGTTTACACGTCTGCTTCTCAAATTGAAGTCGTTTTTTTCATTGGGGTAAACTAGCCACGCTTCAGCCCTTTCTCTTTTAACTGTGATGTAGGCCTGCTTTACGTCGCCATATTTGTTTGAATTTGTCAGACTGTGTACGCTGTACTCGCTAACAGGCAAACTGACCCCCGTATTTGAGCGTGGCTCGCTCTGAATAAACCTATTGTTCCCCCTGATCAGGCCAAGGTGCATAAACACGGTGGCTTCAGTTAGCACGTTTGGATTTTACACCTGGTTCTGGGTTGCTGGCATTAGAATGGGCACACAATGTTTTAAAATTGGATGGCTTCAAAGATAACATCACATAGTTTCACGCATGTGGCTGCCATTTTTATGAGGGAAAAGTCAAATTTGACACCATCTAGGCCAGTGGTTCTCAAACTGCTCATTCAGGGAGTACGTGAAGATTAGTTGAATTTAGAGTTATCTGAAAGGCACACTGTGTACATTTTTGGTTGAGGGTCTGTCACCTGCTTGTTTCTATGGATATGTCATTGCTTTGCCTTGAATGTTCCACAGTATGACATTAAACGGCTTTGCTTTACATTTATTCAATTACAGGTGGTTTTAGTAGCCAGGCTGGCATCACCTAGTGCCTCTGCTCAATTTCATTTCTCTCCAGCGACTAGGTCAGGAATCAGAATACACTAGATGGTTGTTGGCAACGATTCCCGACATCGAAGATTTAAAGCAAAGAGAATGTTTGGTGAATTTTATCAAGGGGAAAGACATTATTGGCCTTCTTCCTACGGGATTTGGGAAAAGCTTAATATACCAGTTAGCCCCGTTACCGACGCATTACATACGTGACGATCAAATAGCAGTGAGTGGTTAAATTTAAAAAAGTACCCGTCGAGCGAACAAATTCTAATGCTGCGAGGTCAGACGGTTTCCAAGAAGTGAAACCGGCTGATGAATCAGGCTGTGGTTTTATAACTATGCTTAGAAAGACAGGCATTCTGACTGTGAGTGGGGTTGCCTCTCCACAGATCGGACCTGTAACTTGGTCTGGTTTGGTCTCTATGGTCTCTAACATCTCCATAGAGAAAAGCATTTGACGGACACTCCACCAGAACAGTTACACAAAGCACCTTTAAAGTCTTCAAAACGTGAAAAACAGAACAAGTTCCTTTTAAATTGTTTGCAGCAGTCCAAGCTTATTCTTCGCATTCCTAACACATTCCTAGCATCCTAATTATTCACTACAATGAGGTTTTAAGCACTTTTCTCAAATTTCAGAGGCCAGAGAAGTTTTGTCGTCACAGTAATCCTACAGGTATGATAACAGCACACCAAGCTTACTTCCTGGTTCGCAGACAATAAAAACACTTTATAATGACATGCAGACTGTTCAGAGTGGTCTCATTGTCACCCTAAGAGCTGCTTTGACAATACATCTGTACTAGGGCAAGACAAATTTAACTTTATTACATGAAAAATAGGTACAGTCTCCTTTTTTCCACATGTTTCTCTTCATTTGGATTAATCCTTGCTTAGAACTGGTACAGAAACTGTGTTGTCCTATTTTAGACCTGATTTAGCCCAGTTAGACCTAGAATAGTCCAGTTTCAGACCTGGTTTAGATTTGGTGGCACTTGGAATGCCAAATATTTCTCTTTTAGATGGCAACTGAAGAGAGACATTTGAGAACCACTGATCTAGGCAAATGTGTTAGCTAATTTTAACAGCCTACTTTCTTTAGGATTTACAATGTGAGTACAACTACAGTAAATGTATACATTTACTGTCGATATGTTTAAGATAATTTATGTGCTACTTGGTCACAATGGTCATTTTTATGGTGTGCTTCTTTAGGATTTACCATTTTAATTAGCCAACTTAAGAGTCTATAAACACCAGGCATATTTATTAGCCACTAGCCAGTGATAGCAGAGGGTGGCTTTCTCTGTCTCTGCTAGAATAAAAGGGAATCGTTCAGTAGTTGATGTATAATTAACACTAAGACAGATAAGAGTGTTGTCCAGCATGCAAGCAAGTTTACATTTTACATTTTTTAGGTGCACTGCACAACTTTTCTGGTGGAGGATCCGCTACCTGCGTGTCCCCATGGAAATGTTATTACCTTGCCTAAAATGTTCCGTGGTATGACTTTAAACATTTCCTTCTAGCATTTACAGTATTCATTACAGGTGTTTCTGTTGCTCAGAAAACACAATCCTTCTGTGAATAGGGGCAACTCTCCACAGATGTGAATTCTAATATAGCGTAATGCTCGGACCAGCTTGTTTTTCTCATAATAGGTTTAATTTATACCAGGGGTCACCAACCTTTTTGAAACTGAGAGCTGCTTCATGGGTAATGAGTCATACGAAGGGCTACCAGTTTGATATGCTCTTCTGAAATAACACGTGTGCACAGTTTGCCTTTAGTTACACATTATTAATAATGATTCATGATAATCATCTATTTGAAGACACTGATCACGTTCATGATTTCTCACAATAATTATCTACAATAACAGCAAGGTGGGAAACAGATATCAATATTAAGTGCAGTGTTAGCAATTATCATCATTGCTTCTCTGAGTGCGTTTAAATGCACATCAGTATCCCAGTTACAAATGCACTATCCTGGTTACTTGACATAATCTTACAAATACAAGTGCAAAAATGATATATTTACTAAACCAGGAAAAATACAAACAACCATGAGCTCCTTTAGCAGAGGAAGCCTGGGAGGTTCTAACCAGCTGTAAGGAGCTCTGAGGTATCCCACAATCCACTGATCCATGTTTCCAAACTCTATTGTAGAAGTTCTGCACTGCAGCAGATTCTTCATTAAAATCTTCTGCATAAATAAACTCAACTTTACAACATATAAACCATAGCCATTATAGAGCCACATCAGCCCGTTTGAGATTATAAAATTTTTTATGCAGCTTTGCCACATTTGTTTACATTTTACAGAAATGAAACTTAAAACCGCACGGCTCATTTACATAAACTGTAAGCCCTAAAATAAACAGCTTGCTCATCTAAATGGCTTATCTAAACTTCATGTATAAGGAACATATTTTTAAGATATTGTCATTTTAAATCTATGTAAATGAAGGCTGATTAAGAAAGAATAGCAAGAGAATAATATTACATTTTAGATGCAGCGCACTAATGAGTTGTGCTATATTTAGAACCACCTAGGTCTGCGGGCGACTCATGTGGTCCTTGGGGGGTGACCTGGTGCCCACCATGTTGGTGACCCTGATCTATACTGTGGAACATTCTAGACAAAGCAATAACATTTCCATGGAGACAGCAGGTTGTGCCACTAGAAATGTTACGCAGTCCACCTTTAAAACCTGGACTATATCCTACATTGCTTGTTGCATTTTATGGTATGACACTCTATGTAATTTTGTTAAGTGTACAAGTCCCCCATTATAACCTTGATTCTTAAATATTTCTTTTTAATTGGTCAAAGCAATATTTAACATGTCCAACTCTATGCATGTATCCAATCATTAATTTCATGCTCAGTTCAGTTACACGTGGCCTGGTCTGTGTTTGGGCGTCTTGATCTGATCTTGATCTTGAGCTGTGATAGTTTAAATTGGAGTTGAGCTACATTTTAGACATGCCAAGTTTGGACCTGGTGTTATTTTAAATATGTTCTGGGTTAGTCCTGGTTTCAGACTGTTTGTGTTTAGGATTTGGATCAGACCTGTATTTGAAAAGAAAAAAAAAAATAGTGATTGCTTGGTTCTTCAAATTACTGTTACTTTCATTTAAAGGTACACTGTGTAAGTTTTCTAGCACCGAGTCTTTCAATGTTATGTTATTGCTTTGCCAAGAATGGTCCACAGTATTCTATAAACTATCTTTCAAATTTTTACTGATCTGATGGTGTCACCTGCTTGTCTCCATGAAGATTGCTAAGGGTTATGCCATTCTGCAGAACATTCCAGACAAAACAAGAACTTCTCCTTAGAAATAACCAGGTGGTGGATGTGACATAGTGCACCTTTAATGAATGACACAGTAATTCAGTGAAAATGATCACACCTTTTCCATGTGTTGCAGATATCTTGGGGAGACACATCTTCCGTCAGTGCCGACAGATGTCTTCTCACACATGGTCAACATTTCCTGGATGTGAGTTTCCATAAGCTGCCTTTTAATCAGAGACTCTCTTCATCTTTCTTCCTTTACACCTGTGCTTCTTCTTCTGCTGAAATCCTGGACCCCTCTCCCCTGTTCCCTATCTCCAGTCCCTGCTCCAGACTCCCACCCAAGCAGAGGCAGATGATGTGCTCTGCTTAGTATCAGTCCTGGCTCACAGTCACAGCTGGAAGCGCTAATGCGTTCCTGTGAGAGGAATGTGGCCCTTGCAGCCGCAGCGGTGCTTGGACATGGGCTGGGGGTTTGAGCAGTGTTTTTGGGCTGGTGCAGACTGGAGGAGGAGAGTAAAATATACACAGAGCCTCTCTGGGTAAATGTCACGCAAGACAGACAGCTCAAGTGGAGGGAGTTTCTCTGGAAGTTTCTTTGGCCGCAAAATGGTGCCTCAAACTCTGGTCTTGCTCATTCTTTAGATTAAACAATAAAATGATTCAAAAGTGAAAGTGAATATTAGATAAATAAAATATTGTATGTATGTATGTAGTAGATTTTTAAAAATACAAATTTGTTTGATCATCTTGGCTATAATGAAAGATTTATGTTCTATCTGGGAAAGTAGATCAAATTTACAGCTGCAAAATAGGGCCATGATTAAAATATAAACGCAAGTTCAATAATGGAGTAAATAGCAATGCCATGTGTGATTTTGTAAGTTTCACTTTTTAAGTACTTATACAGTATATAACTTATTGTATTCATATTATGATGGCTGACAACTATTAAATAAACTTAAATATACTACTACTATTACTACTATACTACTGCTAGGGATGCACCAATCCATCCTTTTCAGTTCTGATACACATTCTGATACTATGGCTTTAAGGATCTGCCGGTACTCAATATTAACCAATACCAACTGCATTTATTTCTTTTAAACTAAAATAATTTAAGGCAAAACTGATCCAAATGTTATTCCTCTACAGAACAGCTTTGTATATATAGAAATTCAAACACAAATTTCAGGGCCAATTACGACCAGGAAATAGAATATTACATTAATGTCCAACCAGGATTTTCAGTATCAGCAGCGATATCCGAATTCAGTATCGTATCAATCCATCCTAACTGCTACTACTTATTATAACATGAACAAAATACATGTCATATTAATATGCTCAGTTCCTCCTCCAGATGTTCAAATCCACCAAAATGTCAGTCAAATTCCTGAATTAGTGGTTTATTTTGTGAAGTATCTCCCAATTACTCTAAGTAATGGTTTACATGCTTGTCTTTTCCCCTAATAACTCCTCACTTCAACACCAACTTGCTGCTAAGTTCAAAGTTTATTTACAGAGCCGACCATTTCTGGAGTAATAACAAATGTACTGAGTGTGACTGATGACTGGGTAACGTATATGGGGGCTGCATACCTGTAAAATTGCCTTCAACAGGGGGGCTTCAGACAAGGTGGGCTGATAAATCCTGCAAAGAGTAACTAACATAGAAACGCATTTAGAAAAACACTTCTTAGCTTTCCGTCCCCCCATTACTTTTAACAAGTGGGCCATTCTTGCTTCACTCACAGTTACGAAATGACATTATTTGAAGAAATCAAAAAGCGGTTGTACGTTGGCGTTTGATATTAGCGGTGTTTATTTGTTTTCAGATATATCTCGGTGGACACTGCTCTGGAGAGGTTGGAAATGCACTCTTTCTCTGGGCTGAGGAAAATCACCCACATGTGAGTAGCTGACAGAAAATACCACGCTCTTTACTGGCCTCATTGATTAAGCTGTTCTATTTACTCTGAGAAGAAAAAGCATTCTGAATCGTGAAGGCAGCAGTGAAAATGGCAGGGTTTTATCGAATGGTAAAATGGCCCCTGTGCCTCAGGTTGGAGATAAAATTAATCTGATGGCAGAAGTTAATGCTACTATTTTAAACGGCCAAACAAGCACTGTTCTTGTCTTACTTATGGGGTGTGTAATCATGGAGAAAACGGCAGCATTTTTATATTGATTCTTGGCAGTGACGCTGGGGAGGTTCTACATGCATTTTTATGGCAGAATGTTTAGCAGTTAACACAATACAGTGCACACATTAGCAAACACTGACAAAATGTTTTTAGAATGCCTGAAAACTCAAAACAAAAAAAAAACTAAAAAGATTTAAACAGCATGTTTTTCAGGAGCCTGTGTTCAATACGAGCTTTCATGTTTCTGTGTAGGTGTTTTGAACAAAAATGTAAGTGACTAACTGAAAAACTGTTCGCTTGTCACTGTAATTTCCATCACTAAATATTACTTTTTTTGCCCTTGTGTGGCAATTTAAGCACATTGAGAAATTGTGTAATTATTATGTGAGAGGGATTTGTTTAATAGTACAAATCAGCTCGTCTTTGTAGTAGTCAGTTTATGGTTATATTGTGTTGAAACAAATCTCAGGTTAAAGTCTAACTTGAGTAAGAGAGCTTCAGATAGAGCAGTTCCTCCAGTTAGCTTTACAACCCCTGGGAATGTCATCTGCTGTCAAAATATCAGTTTGGGTAATTTGATTAATGAGATTATTTTATGCAGTCAAAGGACGTTGTTGTATTTTGCTTCTCAATTTCACGCTTCATCAAAAATATTAGAGGCCCTATTTTATGTTAAATAGATTTTAAATAATAGGTTTGAAATGGTTGAGTATTTCTTCAGATTCCTTTTCACAAGTTCAAAATGCTCTGTTCCACCAGCTGATGTCATAAGGTGGTGTGTGCTCACTTTTCTCCTAGTTAGACCTGATATACTCCTTAACAGTTGCAATAAACCTGGATTAGATCAGGTAGAACTCAAAAAGACAAATATTAAAGTTAAAGTAGACTTTTTCATCCCCTTATAGTTGATAGTCAAGGTCAGTTAAATACAATCAATTCAGTCTTTGTGTCCTTAGGCAAGACACTTCTCCCAATTTGCCTAGTATGAAAGTGGTGTGTGTGTGAGTGATGGTGGTGGTCGGAGGGACCGATGGCGCCGAGTGGCATGGCAGCCGCGCTTCTGTCAGTGTGCCCCAGGGCAGCTGTGGCTACAATAGTAGCTTACCATCACCAGGGTATAGAGTGAATGAATAACGCTGTATGAATGAATGCTGAATGAATAATGCTGAATAAAGTGTAAAGCGTCTTTGGGGACAGAAATGTCTGTGAAAGAGCTATATAAATAAAGACTTACTTACTTATTTACTGTAAGGCAAATTCGTTCTACAATTGGCCCCTACATATCCAGTTGGCAACCATAGTGTGTAGCTCCTTTCTCCAGATCTTGACCCAGGATCTTGGTCAGAACTCAATCATTCTTTTTAGATGAATGATTAGCCTTTACGTTGTATAAGTAATGATGGAAGTTAATTCTTTAGAGTCATATTATACTTGGCATGTGGCGTGGGGCTTTTCATTTTGAGTAGTGGAGTGTTTAAATGTGCACTATGTACTGTATTTTTCAGGCTAGAAGTCACACTTTTTTCATGGTTTGGGTGGTCCTGTGACTTATACTCTTGTGTGAATTATATATTAAAATTTTCATACTCACAGCCTTAAGAGGGCGCTATAGGCTTGTGTGCCATTATCTGCTACCACTATTACTCCTGTACCACTGTCACTTCGCTCTACTGCGCATGTCTTCTGCATGTATTCTACTGCAAATTGTGAAATATGCAGCTGAAAACGATAATTGAGCAGCAGAAAGAAAGTTTGGAGTGACCAAGAAACTTGTGATGGACTGGGAGAACATATAGGTACGAGAGCACAGCTTCATGGTAACCGGGCGGGTGCACCATGCAATTTTCCTGGAAGTCATTAGATGGATTGACAAAGCATGGACTTGAGTGACTTCAGTGATTCAGAAAGGCCAGAATAATGCTAAATGAAACTGTACAAGAGGTAGCAGCACTCTGTTTACCTCTGGAGGTCGCGGAATTCCTCAGAAGTGACACCAACAATGAAGAATTCAATGGATTTAGTGATTTGGAGTGAGATGAAGAGTTTGGTAAACTTGTTCTGTTGTTTATGCTATAGTTATCTGAATAACTGTTAACAGCCTGTTGCTCTTTATTCTATTTTTATTACTATAACTTGCCTTTCAAGATGAAATGTCGGTTCCTGGTCTCTGATTTTATAAAATTAATTTCCCCCAAAATGTGCAACTTATAGCCTGGTGCGATTTATATGTTTTTTTTCTTCTTCATTGCACATGATTTTGGCTGGTGCGACTTATACTCCGGAACTTGTAGTCCAGAAAATACAGTAACTGTTAGTGCTGTGCATGACTGTATAGCATTAAACGTATCTATCTTACATATCTGAGGAGTTTTTAATCACAAAATAAACTTGAAAAACATCCATTCAAACTTAGCCTGATGCTGTAACGTCCCTGTCTCAACAAAGAGCCAAGATTCAATGCCGTACTGTGGAACATTCCAGGCAAAGCTATGACATCCCAATAGTGACAAGCAAATGTCATACCCTTCATCACAAATATTGCGTAGTGCACACAGACTGTATATATAAACAAATAGAAAGTGAGCATGAGTTTGCTTCTGGTTCCATCGACTCCGGCTCCAATTCACTTTGTATTGAAAAAACGTCGCCTTTTCTCTGGCAGCAAATGGGCTCATAATTTTGGTCCTAAGATGTTTGTATTTACCCACTTTACATAATCCTGGTGTTTTTATTCCACTATTTTGTCCGTAAATCAATTCCAGATTCATCTAATAACTGCCAACCTCAATGAGCTTCATTTGGCTGGAGTTGAATGCTATGGGTGACGTACACCGCCTTCTTTATACAGTCTATGATAGTGCACCTTTAAAATCAGGAATATGATTCAAAATTCCCAAAACAAAATCAGTAAAACTCAAACTGTTTGTGTCTAAGAGGGCGACTCTGATTGAGAAGCGTGCAAATTGACTTGATCCATCCCACTTCATGTGCGCGAGACTCACTTACTCTGCATTTTGATCTTAATTATCCCTGGTTTTTAGTGTCTCTGCCTATTAGTCGGCTAATTCCAGATTTCAAAACACAGACTTGGTGGGTAACTGGAGCTGCTTGCCCAGGGCTGTGTGTGATCCGGAGGTGTATTTTGGATCTCCGGGGCCCATTTGCCGCTGATTGGTGTGGTGTGGTACCATGCAGCAGATAATGGCATCTCTCTCAGGTTTCCCTCAGGGTCAGACACAAATTAATGCTACGCTTCCTGTTGGCGGAGAGGCAGTCGGCAGCTGTGGAGTTCTGGCTGCGTGCTGCTAAATCACCAATTTAAAGAGTTGTTACTTTTTATTGGGAAACTCTTGTACAAAAATGTTCGGTCTGCACTTTATCACGGGTGACAGTGAGTGTAGTGTTGGCGTGTGCGTTTGGCTTCCAGACTTGAGATTTGATTCAGCAGGTTTCTATTGTGAGTTTGGTGGAGTAAAGTTAAATGGAGTTCAGGTCACTTATAGTGCATAGTGCATGGTGTTTCCTGTTTTTATGGTTGTTTATGTCATATTAATTGTAAAGTCTGAGTTATGTCAACAATGTCAAGATGAATTAGTTAAATAATAATATCAACTAAATTATAACTTATTAGGGATATAACGATATCCAAATCTCACAATACGATATTATCACGACATGCATCTCATGGTATGATATTTATTGCGATATTTTGGAGAGGCTAATGTAATTGTAGATAGGACACTTTTTTGCTTTTAAAATACCTTGACAAGATTTTGGTGTGAATTATTTCCGTCATAATCCCAAGAATTCAAGTAAGAAACATATTTCTTCATGCTGTCTGCACTGAAATACATATCTTATATCACATATATTTATAAGCTGTTGTTACTATAAAACCATGCATTTAAGCAAAGGAACTTGTGAGTCGATATATTGTGACAGCCCATGACATTCTGACCACACGATATCACGATAGTTTAGTCAAAACTTAAAGGTGCACTATGTAACTTTTTGGCTGAAGGACCGTCACCTGTTTGTTTCTATGGCTATGTCATTGCTCTGCCTGGAATGTTCCACAGTTCTATCCTTACATTTATTCAATTACAGGTGTTTTTATAGATCAGAATCACTAAGAAAAACAAGCATTCTGACTGGGGGGATTGCTTCTCCACAGATCTGACCTGTAACCTGGTCTGGCTTGGTCTCCAAGATAGATTTAATTCCATACTATGAAACCAGACTAAGCAATAACATTTCCATGGAGAAAAGCATTTGACGAACCCTCTATCAGTCAGAAAAGTAAAAACTAAAAGACACTGTCCTTGATTTTTACGGTCTTAAAAATGTGAACAATATAGCTCTCCATGTCCAGAGATCCAGTCATCGAGGTCCCCGCCTTCGACTGCCACCCTGATCTTCTTGCACCGGTCCCATATGGCTCCTCCCGCAGGTGGTGGGCCCACGGCGGCCCCACGTCGCTCCTTCAGGCTATGCCCGGCCGGGCCCCATTGGGGGAAGGCCCGGCCACCAGGCGCTCACTGTCGAGCTCCCACCCCCCGGCCTGGATCCAAGGTGGGACACCGGTAACGCCAATCAGGGCGACGTAGCTGGCCTCTGCATTGAACTCATCATAAAGGGTCTTCTGAACTGTTCTTCGTCTGACCTGGTCTGGGAGGAAGTCTGGGAGTAACTGCTTAGACTGCTGCCCCCGCGACCCGGATCCGGCCCTGGATAAGCAGAAGAAAATGGATGGATGGACAATATAGCTCTTTATAATTAGCTGCAGAAAGTACACAGTTGATTTATTTTGACCCCAAGGAGCTACGTATACAATATATGGAGCCAAATTTTGCTCATATACATGGGAAAAAATCGTGTACAGGCCCTTTAAGAGTCTGGGTTGGATGTCGGGTTAAAGATCATCTTTTCTCTGCGAGGAAGTAACACCAAAAATCCTAATCCTGACATTTGCTTTGGATCATATGTTCTCTTCTCATACAAGATTTCCTTTTGTTTTCTGAAGATTATTTCAAACAGTCAGATCTATGCCATTGTAATTTTCGTTCTAGTGAAAACATATTGAATTTATGTCTGATATTTTAGGATGCATTAGCTTAAGTCTTGTCTGGCGTCAAAAGAGCTTGTTCGGGGTCTTGTTGGAAGCACGAATACGGTTCACTGAAATGGTGCAGTTTTCTTTGGCTTGTGACCCCAATAATAACTACCTATCTCCAAAATCCACCTAGTTTTACCACTAACACCGCAGCACTGAAGACCACACAGGCTTTTGTCAACTATAAAGAATCAGAGAGCGGTTTATCACATTACAACATGAATGTTTTGATACATCTAATATTGGTCTTGTGTCTTCCAGTGACATAATTTTAGCTTTACAGTGGCCCAATGTTGAAAATCTCACATCCCCACGTGATCTACATAATTAGATTAGAATTTGATAAGAAAAAATACTGGTAGTTATAGCCCTATTGATGTTGTAATGGATGACCGAGTTGTAAGTTTCATCCTGTATTGCTGAATAATATTTGTTTGTATATGCATTTACTATTTATATATTAATTAATAATTGTAGGATAAGACACAATTCTCTACTGGGTCCACGACTCTGACATGTACTAAATAAATTGTGCCGTTTTTAAATTATTTTAGTTAATATTTTTCTTGTCATTATAGCGCTGTGTTTTGGAACTACAACTTGTCAACATGCAACTCTCACACTTTAACCCTTTTCTGTCTAATCCAAATGGAAAAATATGGAAAAACAAATCTCACATTTTTCTCATGTGTGTCCTACATACTACATAGATCCGAAAATAGTGTAATATAGGTCCTTTTCAGAAATTCTTGTTCAGATGGATGCAGCATAGAATGAAACACAAAATACATTTACACAAAAGCGGCTCGACTGCGTTCTCTTCAAATATCAAATACAGTGTGGTTTGGCCTACTTTGATAACAAGGATTGAAATTGTTTTGTTTTTCAGAGAGCTGAGAAACTTAAAGAGTCTGACCTACATCGACCCAGAAGCCTTCTACGATCTGCCAAGCCTCAAATACCTGTAAGCAACTCATCCATCTAGATTCTAGTCTGTTCTCCCTGATAAATGATGATCTTAAAATTGTTTGTCAGAGTCAGACTAACCTTTATAGTTCTTTGTAATTAACAGCATTTTAAGAATAAGAAATGTGCTTGCTTTGGTGCTAAATACAGTACAACAAGTAGCAATAATCATTATAAAATATTAAAAGGCATGCATATTATAAAAGTATTATTAAAGGTGCACTATGCCACTTTTCTGGTGTTGCACTACCTTATTGTTTCCATGTTGATGTTATTGCTTTGCCTGGAATCTATTTATTCTATCTGAAGTATGCATATGTTTTTAGTGCTTTGAAAAACATGCATTCTTACTGTGAGTGGGACCGCCTCTCCACAGATCTAAATTGTGACTTGGCATAGATAAGTTTAAAGTTTGAATTGTTTGAGTAACCCTTTATTATTAGTCTGTCTACACTGAAAGCTCAAAATGCTCTGTTCCACCTAGTGATGTCATGAAGCAGTAGTTTTCAAGTTAATAGCGATGTTTCGTTCAGAAGAGATTTTCAGTTCCTGGGTTGAAATCATCCAAATTATTCTGTTGAAGGTGTATGGAGTTTAAAAAGACACTGGAGCATTTTCTGTATTACCACATGGTGTTACAAGGTGGAACAGCATGTTTTCTGTTTGAGAGAAGAATAAAATACAATATGAAGTAAGACTGCGTGCAGAATGTTGAACCAAGATGTAGATTTGGTTTGTCAGTCAAATCAAAATTGAAGCAAATGGCTCTTCATTTTCTTTGCATGTTTGTTCACTTTCTCACTGAATTCTTGACAAAATAAATGTTGTTTGTTGCATGCTGAAATCTGTTTTTGTATTGAGGCTGCTTCTGTGGTTCCAAGAATACAAATGGTAGGAGATTATTACAGGGTTATTATGTTTGAATATGTTTGTGTGCATTTTTTCAGGGGCCTTTACAACACGGGACTCACGTTCTTCCCACATCTGAGCAACATCAACTCGTTTGACCCAAGCTTCATTTTGTAAGTAAACAAATAATAATAATCATATAAGTTCAAACTGTGATTATTAAAGCTTTCAAGGTTCAATTAATATTTTTATCTGGTCCCCGAAGGGTTGACCAGGTGTTGTATTCACCTTCTGTGTGTGTGTCTGTGTGTCTGTCCACCCGCGATAATTCCGCCATTTATGGACCGATTGTCACCAAATTTTGTACGTGGGTCAAGCCCAATTGCCCAATGCCGCAAACAAAAGGTTGGTGATGATCTGAGGTCATTTGAGGTCACAAGGGTCAATTGAAAGGTCACATCATTATAAAGGATAGGCAATTTTGGCAATTTTTGAACCATTTACAGGCTAAAATATTCATCCAATCATCACACAAGTTGGCACACACATAACTGGGGTATGGGCTGGGCTCCTCATAAGCTGCTTCCGTGGTGATGAACTGCCCCCACTGATGCCTCATGGGGGACCAGGTTGCTATCTCTGATTGTGGTTGTTTAATTATCTATCTATCTTTTTTTTTTTTTTTTTTTTTTTTTTTTTTTTATAATTGCCATTTCACCATCAGAGTAGCATCCAGTAGTATGTAATATGTATGTTTGCATTTGCTATGTAGCTTTTATATTACTAATCTTATACCATTATTATATTCAATGAAAATATATGACTTTTGATGATTTCTTGTCTATTTTGCAACATCACTCAAAATATGTTTATGTCTTTTTTTTTTTTTAAAGCACTGACGCCATGCTGGTCAGATCTAAGCAGTGTTTGTGTTGATGTAATCTTACAAGTAAAATATCATAATATAAAAATCTAATCATATTTAATTCAGAATATCTAAACTAGATCAAAGTCATGACTAAACCAAAACAAGCCTCATTTTTAAAGGAGGACTGAAGCCAAAGTAAAAACTAAACTGAATTTTGATTAATGATTTAAAATGAAAATATAACTTCAGAAGACACTGCTGAACTAAGCCATTTGAGTCATTTGAACTGAAGCACTAGGTTCATTGTTGTCTCTAATTGAATTTCAAAACCACACTTGCATATTTATTCTCTTCTTACCCTCTACTCACCGCTGTCTCTTACAGGGTCTTTATTTTCCCATTTCTAACCAGTTCTCTCTGTTATTTGGTGTCATTTTCTGCAGGGAGATTGTGGATCACCCGTACATCACCGTGATCCCAGCCAACGCATTCCAGGGCATCACGTCTGAACTGCTGACAGTGTGAGAGCTCTACACCAACACCACAAACGCCTTCAAATCTGAGAGATACTGATCAGATTACAGGTTTAAAAATAGAGCCTCAAGCAACAGGGAAAATATGTGTTCCCACTCAAATCCCACTCTCGACAGAATCATCATCAGTAGAGGGGTCAAATCCACTGGCCCACAGGTTGGCAGTACGATTCTAGTTCCCATAGAGGAATACCATTGTTGTGTCCTTGGGCAAGACACTTAACCCACCTCACCCCCAGTGTATGTGTGTGTGAGTGGGTTTCTTGATGTTAAGTGCTTTGAGTGCCTTGAAGGTGGAAAAGCGCTGTATAAAAATGTTTATTTTATCATTTGAAGTGCACTCTAAAACCTCTGGAAGATAAAGAAGATTTCAAAATATATACAGTTGAATTACTTACTTTAAACTTTACTATTTTAAAGGTCTTAAAGGACTTTGAGCTTTAAGCCATTTTATTATATACTCCAGAATTTACGTGCTTAGATTTCAATTTTGTTTCCTTCACACATGGTTAAATAACTTTCTTATTAGTCGTAGTTGTATCTCCTAAGATCAAAATGCACTGTTCCACTACACATACTGGTAGTTTTCAAATGAACAGCTACCTTCTACTTTTTGTTCAGTAGAGATTGGCAGTTCCAGCTCTGAAATCATCCACAGGATTCTAGTAACGGTGCACAGAGTTTCAAAACTCTGTGGAGCACTTTCTTTATTAACACATGACATCACAAGGTGGGACAGAGTGTAGGAGAGAAGAACTCAATTCAATAAATATGCAGGGTTTCTGTGTTAAACATGTGTGAACGAAACAAAACACAACTGCAGGTCTGTTTGTGATGAGGAAATAATATTATAACATAGATCTGAAAATAGCGTAACACAAACACTTTCAATTAGCCATTTTGAAAATGTATTTATTTGGATATTTTGGATTGTTTTATTTTTTTAACCTTCTACTTCTAATTGTTTGGCTACACTTTCCCCTTCTGCTGTAAGTAAGCCTGTAGTAAATCCCCATATCTCATTACTCTCTATAATAACCAATAAAAGAAAGAAATCTGCCAAACTGAATCCACGCTGAAAACATGGCCTCCTTGTGAACTCAACAGGAAAGGATTGCAAAACAAGTACACACATGGACACAGAAGAGACATTCGTGAAGGGGCTACAGGGATAAGAGGAAAAGGAGTTGGTAGAGAGGACATTTTACGAAGAATTTAGGAGATGTGACCACAAAATTAGGGTGAAGGACAGGCAGACAACCTCAGTATTAATGTAATATGTTGCACAAACACACATATTTTCCATTCACTACATTATGGTTTTAATGCGAGGCCAGACCGAGTGAACGCTGTGCTGTCAAACTCAATCACATGACAAAATTAGACAGGAAGCATCATGGTATCCCCAACGCAAATCTATGCATCATGTAACTTTTCCAGTGGAGGCTTCGTCAAATGTCATTCCATCAATCTCCATGGAGATGTCATTGCTTTGTCTGGAATGTTTCACAGTATGATATTAAACCTTTCTATCTTCATGGAGACAAAACCAGACCAAGTTACAGGTCAGATCTGTGGAGATGCGATCCCACTCACAGTCAAAGTGCCTGTTTTTCTAGGTATTTATTAGCTATAAAACCACCTGTAACTGAATAAATATAAGGTACAGCTGTTTAAAGTAATACTGTGGAATATTGCAGACAGAGCAATGACATATCCATAGAAACAAGCAGATGATGGATCCTCAGTCAAAAAAGTACACAATGTGCCTTTAACTGTGTTTTGGTGAAATGTGTGGTCCAACCTGTCATAGGACCTGCAACTTCTGATTATTATCAACGGGATACTCCAAAAACACAATTGATATCATCCATCTCTATGTTCTAGATCAGGGTTCTCCAACCTTTTTGCCTCCAGTGATCTACCTTTAAAAAATGAAAATATCAGAGAGTTATTAATTTAGGCGGTCGCAGGAAATATATGAGTATATATAAGAGCCACAGTAAGCCTTAGCTCGGGTGCAGTTAATTGCCTATAAAACAAACCATTATCCATTTATTAGTGCACAAAGTCAGGCATCACAATTATACATTTACAACAGCATTTAATTCATCCCATTTTATTTATTCAGCACAATACAAATAATTTAGAAATCCCTTGGTGAGCTACTTAGAAGGTGGTACTGGTAGTTCCTGTGCTGCAGGTTGTGGAGACCCCTGTTCTTCTAATCATGGCAGGACTGCGTTCAGGAACAGTTAAACAGTTAACGATTAGAAGTCTGGCAGTTTGAATTTAAATGTTGTGTTTTCGTAAGTCATTACTGAAGGAATTGAGAAGTAAGAAAAGTGCAATATAAATCCACAGTGAAAGTTTCAGTTAAAAAGTTAAAACTAGAATGTGGCTGATAGTTTCTGTTTTGTTTCAGGGCGTTGTTTGGAAATGGCTTCAGAGAGATTCAGCATCACGCCTTCAATGGAACCAGGCTTGAACAAGTGTGAGTACAACAGTATGCAGCAGAGATGGGACAAGATCTCATGTCACATGATCTTACGTGATAACATTGCCATAAGACTACACACATGAGAAAAAATTATCTTGTGAGATTTTTTTTCCCTATTTGGATTGGACAAAATAGGGTTAAGTGCTGGTGAGTTGCATCTTATGGCTGAATCCCATTACACCCCTTGGCCATACCACTTTCCCCTACCCCTCCATTTTGTGCATTCACGTGTAGGGGTAATATAGGGGTGTCCCAGTTATCGTTATGGCAGACGGGTAGGGGAAAGTGGTAGGGCTATATACCCCTTCAAACAAAGATTTTTCAGAGGCACATTGCAAGCGGTAGCCTCATTCATCAGCCGGTTTCACTTTGTAGAAACTGTCTGACCTCGCAGCGTTAGAATTCATTCGCTCGACGGTAGGCGGGTACCTTTTTATTTAACAAATCGTTGCTATTTGATCATGACATATGAATGCGCCACTAACAGGGCTAACTGGTATATTAAGCTCTTCCAAAATCCTGTAGGAAGAAGGGCAAGAATTTCTTTCCCCTTGATAAAATTCACCAAACATTCTCTTTGCTTTAAATCCTCGATGTCGGGAATCGTTGACAACACAGAATGTCTGACTCTTCACTGACTGGCTGGTGCCCAGACTCGCACTTTCGGGGTTTTTGCGAACCGCCTAATGTATTCCGATTCCTGACCTAGTCGCTGGAGAGAAATGAAATTGAGCAAAAGCACTAGGTGGCGCCAGCCTGGCTAACCAGACGGAGGGGTATGAGCAATTTCCGAGAATGTCCTGCAAATCACTGGCAAGATGGCTGCTACCACGGCCACAGAGACCAAAGAAGTTCACAAACTGTAGAAGGCATGTTGGATTTCTGGCAAAAGCTCGTCACATCTGCTTATGTAAAATCTGGCGGAGACTACTGGTGACGTATGTGATGTTTGACGTATTATTTAACCATTTGTTGATGGGGTGTCCCAATTCGTAGGGGTTTACTTTCAACCCCTACCCCTTGTTGCTCAGTTCAAGGGGCATGGGGTAGCGGTAGAAATTAGAAATTGGACTGGCTCTTTGAGAAGCTGTAGTTCCAAAAAGCAGTGTTAGAACCAAAATATTAAATGAACCGATGATAGATTCTGAAACCAACTTTGGGAACTAAATCTCATTATTTATATAATCTTGTGTCTTGTATTATCTTCTGGAAATGATGTCTCATCCCACCCCTAGTATCAAGAAATCAATCAAATGAATGAACACAAATGTACAAACATATTTTTACACCAAACAGCATATAACTTAAAATTATAACAGATGATTAAAACACACATTTGACTGCTTTATTGAGGCATATTTGAATTGTGTGCATTCTTACCACAAGTGGAGTTGCCTCTGCGTAGATCTTCCCTGTTATATGTCCGGTGGAATCTCCATGGCGACTGCAAATGAATCATAAAGTGACTCATATAAAATGTTACAAAATACTAACCGCCACCTCTTAGACTGCATGTTGTTAGATATAGTTCTTACGATGCTACTGTCTCCTCTTATAGCCACACTAGCAGCATTCACACTTGTTTAACCAACCCTGTCCCGGGGCACAAAGTGTTTTTTATTCTGTTCCGTGTCGTTCCGGTCTTTCAGGATACAGAAATGAGCGGATTTAGAGGTTTTACATTTTCTGCAAATGGTTGGTTCAGTATTTGGTCTGGATGAGATTGCTCCTGACATCTGGCATGTGTATTTCCTTTCGTCCAAATTGCACTACAAAAGCAGCAGGATCACAGCTAGTCTCTGCGGGCCGTCTCGTGTGTACTCCAGTGCAGACCTAAGCCCAGCTCTTGATTACCCCGCTGTGGTTCTCATGGGAAAAATGTATCCAAAAAAAGTGTGCCCCCCTGTGCCATATACACGGGGACACTAAGTTTTTTGTCACCCTAGAAATCAGTTTTATGCTTGGTTTGCAAAAGATAAGTTTTGGATGTTATGTAGATCAGGCTTGTCACTGAGATATTATACAGAGAAGTATGCTGTTTATAGGGATGCACCGATACCGTTAGCAGATCCAGAATAATTTGGTGGACCAGGCTGATTTTGATTTCATGATCAGCAGGCCTGTCACGATAATTTCGGTAGCAACTTATCTTTCAATATGAATATGAAAGCTGAGATTTATCGTGTGTGTTTCTGCACTGTGATGAGATATAAGTTGTAGAGGGCAGAATAAATAACTTCCATGACTTATTTTTTATGACTTCATTTGTTGCAGCTCACTGGAATTATCTTGTTTTCTGTCAGTGGCATAAAGTAGTTTCAATATTATTGTTCACTGCAGTATTTCACTGTAGCATTATATCGTGCTTCAAAATTCGTTATTGTGCCAGGCCTAATGATCGGTTCAGCCAATATCCTGGTTGTATTCTGATGTATCCTTATTTATATCCTGAATGTAATAAGATTATCTACAGGCTGATCTTTAAACTTATTCATGCAAAGCCGTTCTGTAGTTATTTGCAGGATAAAAAACATTTACATTTAACACAAGTGGATCTATTTCGTAATAAGTGAACAAATATTGATTTAAAGCAGGGGTGTCACACTCAAATTCACAGAGGGCCAAAATTTAAAGCTGGAACTAAGTCGTGGGCCAAGCTAAATATCTATTGAAAAATGTCACCAACATCTGCATTTTTTCTTTTCTTTCAAGATACTTTATATAATGTTAAACCTTTTCTTATTAAAATAAATGTTTAATAAGAGTTTTGCTTAAACACTGAATCCAGAACAAGCATAATATAAAATAATAACAAAATTTTAAATAAATGATGTCTCTATAGCCTATCTGTAACCAGCGGGCCAGCTCTAATACATATCTGATATGATCTCGCGGACCAAATATAATTATATCACAGGCCAAATTTGGCCCCCGGGCCTGAGTTTGACATCTCTGATTTAAAGAAATAAATGCCTATAGTGTCGCAATTGGAAAAACCTGAAAAGCTGAAATGGTGCATACTATTTTATACACCTAAACAACTCTACTTACAAAGCAACAAAGGTTATTGAACAGTAGAACTCATATTAAAGTTCTAAGCAATATTTGGGTGATTTTTAACTGTTTTTGTAGACCTCAGTGCCAATGGATGAGTAATATTACTTTATACAGACTCCATTAATCTGTTTGGTTAGTTATTTTGGTTTTGGAGTCAGAAATTTTATCCAGTTATTTATTTATTTTATCTAAAAACAATCACAGCTGCCCAAACTGCTGTGCAAAAGCAGTTTAAAGTGCAGTCTGATAAAACTGAACATGCAAAAACAAGATAAAACTAATGCAATACAAATGTTCCACCCAGTTTAAAAGCCAGTGGACACAAATGGGTTTTCAACAAATACTTACAAATATTTGGAGATTTGGCTGCTCTAATACCCAGAGGAAGACCAGAGGAGTTGGAGAGTCTGGGACCTGCTACTGCAAAAGTCTAGTCGCCTCTAGTCTTTAGTCAGAACCTTGGATGTTATTACTTGTTATTAAAGCATTATTATTTATTTTATTTGATAGACTATGTAATACGTACGATGTGTAATAATTTAAAGGTCCTCTGTTACGCAAATTTGACTCATGAAAGATTTAAGCCATGTTATAATGTTGTTAACTGTTGTTATCTGGAGTTGTGTCTTGTTTTATTCACACATGTTTGATGTTTGTTAGGCTGTCTACATCTCCAAAGCTCAAAATGCTACGTACCACCTTGTGATGTTATGAAGCTGAAGTTTTCAAGTTAACGGCTACATTTTACCTTTTGTCCAGTAGAAATTTTTTATTCCAGGGCTGAAATTATCCAGCTGATTCTAGTGCACAGCTTGTGTGAACGAACAAAACCCAACTCCAGGTATGTTTTTGATGAGGAAATGACATTATAACATAGACCAGAAAATAGCATAAAATGAACTCTTTAAATATGCATAAAAAAACATTGGTATTGGTATCAGATCTGAACAAAAATCACTGGTATCGCTGCAGTCTATCTTTAATAACAGTGTAAGTGAATGACCAGGGAGTCTCACCGCACAGATGTTTGCTTTGGCCTGTGGAGCTCTGAGGTGAGAAGTGAGTCAAACAGCTTGTCCCGACCAACACAAACTCTCCTCTCTCCGCTGTGGTCCTTATTGGATTTAAGAGCTATGGGGAGATGTGGCGAGTGTGTTTAAGAGTTCACCGGACTGTCTTTCATGAACCGAATTTGAACCAACTCATGATCGAGACCTTCCCTGTTCCTCCTCACCTCTCGGATTAAGAAAAATAAACCTTAAAAAGTGCACTGATGAGGAATGGCCAAATATTATGCCGTGCTTTGGGCTGATTGAAATGAAAAGGATTGGCTTTCGTTTAATACACTATCATTGTTTTGCTTTGTGTCCAGTGACCTTCACAGGAATAAGTACCTGACCAGGATCGATGAAAAGGCGTTTGGAGGCACCATCAGTGGCCCCATGCTTCTGTGAGTATCTCAGTTACATACAATGTGAAAGTACTCCGGCTTACACTACACTAGCTAGAGTTGTCAATAATATAGATATCAAATACAAAAAGTAGTATGGAAACTAGATACTCATTTGAACAGGTATTGATTGTGAACAAAAATAATTGGACAGAATTTGACCTTTCTTGAATAGTTTAAAGGACCCATATTAGGGTATTTACTGATCTCTGTTATAATGTTATTTCCTCATCAAAACCATACCTGGAGTTTTGGTTTGTTTCGTTCAGATATGTTTAACACACAAACTGTTTTTGGTGAGGTAACAGCATTATAACATGGCTAAAAACTCACAGGAGTCAACTTTGTATAATCCAGGGCCTTAAAATGCCATAATTAACACAATAACTGTAAGCAGGATAAAACATGAGTTAAAATAAATACAGAGCAAAATAAAACACTTCAGCTGTTATTTAATATCTATAAATTACAGACATAAATCATTTGCCCCTCCGCATCTCAAATGTTCTACAAATAAATTTGAATTACATCCCCACTTCTGCACAGAAAAATGTACGTATAAGAAATATTAAGCCTAAATAAATACAGAGTTCATATAACGTTTATTGTTTGGTAAGTTGATATACTGTGCAGTGAGCCACTGCTGTGTTATCTAAGATTATATTTGCACACGAAGGGTTTGCAATAACATTTCTTAGTTTTTAGTAATGCTGTAAATTGGGAAAACGGTGAACTTTTAAACTGAAGCAGAATACTGAAGTCATATTCCCTTATGTTATGTTGATCTAATGACGCATTTCAAGTGACTTTTAATTACATTATCATCTCTGGAAGCGAGTCCCTACATTTGTATTGTGTTTTTTCACCTGTTGAGATACACCACCTGCTTCCTTATCGCAAACTAACTGTCTTTGCTTAATCAAGAACATGCAAGTTTTCAATTATGTCATTTGAAGACAGGATGACACATAAGTACAAAACTAGACATGACTCTGTCATTAAAGGTTACACAAATGGATTCTTGAGAGCTTTTATCCATCTTATAATGCTGTTACTTCCTTTTGTTTTGTTTTATTTCATTCACACATGTTTGAGTAACCCTGGTTTATTAGTATCTCCAAATCACAAATTCCGCTCTTCTGATTTGTGATGTCATAGTGGCAGTTTTCAAGTTAACAGCTACTTTTGACCTTTCGTTGGTTTGTTTATTTGCCATTTGAAGTTAAAAAACACATTGGAAAAACATGTGCAAAAAGCTCAAAGTGCACCTTCAGTAGAGACTGGAAATTCCAGAGCTAAAATTATCCAAATGATTCCAGTGAAGGTGTATGGAGTTTAAAAACACAGTGGAAGACTTCCTGTATTACCACATGAAATAGAGTGTTTTCTGTTTGATTCTGTATGTTTTTGATGGGTAAACATTAACAACATTATAACACAGATATTCTAAAGGGTCCAGTTTATGTTATTTTCTGATCTGACTCAAGCAACCTGAATGGCCTTCTGCAAGTTTGAGTAACTTCAGACACTATTTTAAATCTCAAGGTTACTTCAATGCATTTTCCACGGCTATCTAGTTTCTATATTAGATCCACTGTGTCTGGTTTTGTGGAGTAAGCTGGTGCGCAGGTTGAGAGGTACTTGTCCCTGTGAGTACCATTCGTCCATGTGTTAAACATCTGGGAAAAACAAAACGCAATAGTTAAAAAGTCTGCTGCCTCTTCTCCACCCACACAACGGGTCCCGCGAGAGGAAACCGAGCTAAGTACAGCGAAGTGGCGAGAGCAAAAGGGAATAGAAAACAATTACAGCATGAGAAAAGAAATTATACTTTTGGTGTGGTTGAGTTACGATTAAATTAATTTAATAAGTTGATTTTGATATCGTGGATTCAGGGGATTAAAAAGGCAGTGATTTTTAGCCTTTGTTCAACCATTGTAACACTGGAAAATCATGAAAATTAGATTCTCTGCAACACCGGGGTGCAATTTGTGTCTTATATATATTTCTATTTCAGACTGGCCACTTCTCCAGAAAGGACCAGAGTACACATCTTATATTAGTATTATAGTATGGTATAGGCAAAGCGTGTAGTCATGGCTGACAAAACAAGATAATAGGGGTCATAGAAACAGCAATTTCACAGCACAGAAGGTGATAGTGATTATTGCAGAAAGCTCCTTACTTACATGGTTCAACAAATATGTAGCTGGAGCATGGGCATATTGTATATCCTATTATTACATAGCTAGCAGAAATAAACCATTTATGTAGCATTTTTGTAGGTATTTCACAAATGCATTTCTAAAGTTTTATTTCAAACTTCAAAGGTATACACATGGAAAAAAAAAGATAAAAAATGTCAATCCCTCCCTTTGTAAACTGCTAACTTCTGGTCTCCTGTCTTTCCTCAGAGATGTGTCTGAAACAGCCATCAGCTCTCTGCCCGCTCTGGGGATGGGCAGTGTGCGTGAGCTCAAAGCACGAGACGCCTGGGCCCTGAAGAAACTGCCCCCCATTAAAACTTTTTTAAACCTGCGCAGCGCCAACCTCACCTACCCCAGCCACTGCTGCGGCTTCAAGAACCTCAAGAAGAAAAGAGGGTGAGACACAACTTGACGATAATGAGCAAATAAGGTGTAAAAAGGTGTTATTTTCTTAATGGGGGGGCTAACAGTAACAAATAACATGAAGATGCACTATGGAGCTTTTCTGGTCTCAATGGAGATGTTTATTCCTTTGTCTAGAATGTTCAGCAGTGCAACAAATCTATCTTCCCTTTATTAAATTACAGGTGTTTTTATTGCTCAAAAAATACTTGTAAAAGCATGCATTCTTAATGTGAGTGGGGTTGCCTCTCCACAGATCTGATCTGTAACTTGGCCTGGTAGAGTCACCTGCTTGTATCCATTTATAGACTTAAAGCTTCATTGTGTATTTTTAACAGTACAGGGTCCACCAGCTGCTTGGCGGTGTTATTGCTTTGGGCTGGAATGTTCTACTACAGTATGGTAATCAATTATTTATCGCCATGGAGACCTCATCAGGCCAAGTTACAGGTCAGACCTGTGAAAAAATGACCCCAGTAACAGTAGGAATGCACGATTTTATGGTATTTTGGACACTCCTGGAAAAGTTACATAGGGAACCGTTAATAAAAATGCAGGAAAAAAATTATAAATTTTACAAAATCATTTTGAAGTCAGAAAGTCTCTAATCTATAGCGCAAGTTACCTACATGACTATAGATTTTATTAGAGGTGCCAGTATTAGCAGAGGGCACTGTAAAGCGTACTAATGAGTGGCCTAAGTACTGGGTTGGCTGCTGTGGAGTGCTGTGGACATTGGCAGGGTGTGAATCAACCGTCTGACACGTGCACCTATAATGTCTGAAGCACGGCTGTAATTACTGTCACTCAAAGCTGTTATTGTTGGGGAGAGGTCTCAGACTGACTAATGGAGCTGGAGGTGTGGACTCATTATGAACGTGCAATGGTACAGTTAAAGCTTCGGGCTTTCCCCTAACTGCACATGGAATATTATATCAACCCAAAAGTGCATAATGTACATTTTAAATTCAAGGCTAGTGTTTCAAGCAAGATCTTATAGAGGCCTTTATTATTATTATTATATTTTCAGCGTGTAGAATCTAATTTAAAGGTGCACTATGTAACTTTTTGGTTGGGGGTCTGTCACCTGCTTGTTTTTATGGATATATCATTTTTTGGAATGTTCCACAGTATGACATTAAATAGTTCTGCCTTACATTTATTCAATTACAGGTGGTTTTATAGCTCCAAAATACCTAGAAAAACAGGCATTCTGACTGTGTGCGTGGTTGCCTCTCCACAGCTCTGACCTGTAACTTGGTCTGGTTTGGTCTCTGTGAAGATAGAAAAGTTTAATACCACCCTGTGAAACATTCCAGACAAAGCAATAACATCTCTACAGAGAAAAGCATTTGATGAACCCTCCGACAGAAAAGTTACACACTGTACCTTTAATAAATGTTTCTGGCCATTAAACTGAAGATATAATGTACAGTACAAATCAATGTTATATCGTGTATCTATTTCGTTAAAATACTTAGAAATTTTCAGGTTTCAAATTGTCTCTTCTTTTGCCGTGTTACTCATCTTTTATTTTGCCACACTGTTTAGCAACAAAAACACCCTCTGCTTTAAAAAAATAGTTTTAATTTTAAATTTGTTTTATGGCCAAGATGATACACCCTTTCCCAGGTCAAATGTTGGTGCCAGCAGTGATCAAAACAAGGCTATTTTAAGAAGATTCAGTCACTTTGTTCCTTCACTTCCAGCCAAAACAGACTTCAGAATTCAATTAAAAATAGTCTGGACTATGAATCATTTGGAGCTTAATTGTAGATATTAAAGGTCATATGTTACGCAAAATGGATTCTTGTGAGTTTTTTGCCATGTTATAATGCTGTTACCTCATCATAAACATACCTCGAGATGTGTGTTTTTTCATTCACATTTGTTTAAGTAATCTTTTTTTATTAGTCTATTTACATCACCCAAACTCAAAATGTTCTGTTCTGACTTATGATGTCATGTAGTAGTAGTTTTCAAGTTCAAAGCTCCTTTTACCAATTACTTTTACCAATTCTCGGGCTGAGATCATCCATATAGTCAAGTTGTATGGACACATCCTGTTTTACCACATGACATCACAAGGTGGAACAGGGTGTGTTCTGTTTGAGAGAAAAGTTCAGTATGCAGGATTTATGTGTTAGACATGTGTGAATGAAAAGAAACAACTCTGTTTTTTATGAAGAACCAAGATTATGACAGATGAGGAAACAGCATAATGTAGGCCATTTAAACATCAAAATATTCTCTTTATCAATATTTCTATTTTCTTTCAGCTATCTGGAGCACGTTATTTGCAACTTGACCGCTTACTACGACCAGCACCATAAGCGCTCGGTGGGGATGTCCTCCCTCCAGGACGATTTCATGTCCGAGCCTGTCCCGGACCAAGAGACAAACGAAGACCTACTGAAGGACCAGGACTTAAGGAGGACGTACTTCCACAACAGCCTACATTACCCCGCCTATTTCGGGGGCCAATCCGACGACGATGTGGGCTTTGGGGAGAACTTTAAAAACCCCCAAGAGGACAATACCCAGTTCTTTGATAGTCGGTATGATTACATTATTTGTGACGATCAGGCGGAGGTAGCTTGCGCGCCAGTCCCCGATGAATTCAACCCTTGCGAAGACATCATGGGGTTTAGCTTCCTTCGCGTGACAGTGTGGTTCGTTAGCTTGCTAGCCGTTCTCGGCAACGTCGTAGTTCTCATTGTGTTGCTAACTAGCCACTACAAGCTGTCCGTCTCCCGCTTTTTAATGTGCCATTTAGCCTTTGCTGATCTTTGTATGGGAATATACCTACTTCTTATTGCCTCTGTAGACCTGCATACGAGATCAGAGTATTTCAATCACGCTATAGACTGGCAGACAGGTCCTGGGTGCGGACTAGCTGGATTTTTTACAGTTTTTGCCAGCGAGCTTTCGGTATACACGCTCACGGTGATTACACTCGAACGCTGGTACGCCATCACCTTTGCTATGCGGTTGGATAGAAAGCTACGGCTCCATCACGCAGCGGTCGTCATGGTAGCCGGGTGGATTTTTTGCCTTGTATTAGCAATACTTCCGCTAGTTGGCGTTAGCAGCTATCAAATGGTTAGTATATGCCTTCCGATGGATACGAAATCAACAGCAGCGCAAGTTTATATTCTTTTGGTGCTACTTTTTAATATTGTAGCATTTTTCGTAATATGTGCTTGCTATTTTAGAATATACTGCGCAGTACACAACCCGCACTACCACTCTGGGTCAAAAGATACCAATATCGCTAAGCGTATGGCTGTGCTAATCTTTACAGATTTCCTATGCATGGCGCCGATTTCGTTCTACGCTATGTCCGCAGTTATGGACCGCCCCCTTATCACAGTGTCCAATTCAAAAATCCTATTGGTTCTATTTTACCCACTTAACTCTTGCGCCAATCCATTTCTGTACGCCATCTTCACCAAAGCGTTCAGAGGAGATGTTTTTATTCTCCTCAGTAAAGTTGGGTTATGCCAGCAGAGGGCGCAGTTGTTCAGGGGGCAAACCGTTTCGTCAAAAGGAAGCAGCGGGACATCACAAATCCGTAGAGACAAAGGAAAGGGAATAAAGAATAAATTAAAGCCGCTTGCGGCGATGATGGCCCTCGCCCCGATGCGCACGCCCCCCCATGCGACCTCCGAGGACTCGCAACCGCTTCAGCACAACATCCTCTCTTCCCAACAGCCGCACAGACCGACAGCTCGTCCACCAGAAAAATTACATAGTGTACCTTTAAAATTGGATAATGAGAATGATTCTAGAGAGAAACTATAGAAACTTGGCCATAGGTCATACGACTTTTATGATCAAGAGCACTGTCAGACTAAGACTGTGCATAAAAACACACCTTCCACTATAAAAATGACATAGTGTGCCTTTAAAATTGAATAAATTTAGAGGCAAAAGTGTACAAACTATGGCATGGGGCATAGTTCTCGTTGACTTTTATGATCAGGAGCATGTCAGTGAATGCTCTGCAAAGTTTCACGAATTAATGTCAAAGCTATTTTTTTTTCTCCCCCATGGTAAATTTTGTGCATTTCTATAGGTGGCGCTGTAGCACTGATAATTGTGTTCGATTGGACTAAGCATGTACGTGTAATCATTTTTAAAATATTTTGGGGGGGAGTTTTTGTGCCCCTGCTGGCCAACTATGAAAAATGCCCAATATCCTTAATATATTTTTGTTCATAATCATGCATAGAATTTAATCCCTGAATTTGGTACAAATCCGATAATGCTGATGTTTCATGTCTATGGTAGGGGGCGCTATAGTGTTCACTTTTCATATACTTTATAGTGGATTATAATCAGGCCGTGATCAGGCATTATTGATTCAAATTTCAGCACAATCAGACAAAGCATGTGCGTGTAATAGATTTTTTATTTACTTGTAATCATGCATAGAATTTAATCAACGAATTTGGTTCTAATCAGATAATGGTGGTGTTTAATGTCTATGTTAGGGGGCGCTATAGAGTTCACATTTATTAGATTTCATATTTCATTACATTCAGGTCCGGATAACGCAATTGTGATTTGAATCTGACGCGCAATCAAAACGGCGGCGAATTTTTTATCCAATATGGTCGACTTCCTGTTCATCATAGAGCAGCACAATGATTGGCTTTTTTGCTTGTCTCCTGGAGTTCTATCACTGTAAGCTGTTTTAATTTCGTGAACCTATGCCAAAATATGCTTCTCATCCTCCCATTCATTTCAAAATGTGAAATTTTAAGTGAGCGCTGTTGAGTGGGGCCACTTTGGGCATTGTCGCGATGCCCATTTTATCACATTTTTCGCCGGACCGACCAACCACCAGATCTAAACCAGGTCTACAACAGGATTAAGCCAGGCCTAAACTAGGACTGAATTATGACTTATGTAGTTCTAAATAAAGATGCCAGAATGATAAACAAACTCATTATTTCTCCGTTTCAGATTAAATCACAGCATTCTATAGGTTCAATTATATTTAATACAGATGGGAGCAGCTAAAGTTTATATAGTTGGAATGCAGATTTTTTTTGTAATACAGTGAGTTTTGGGGTCTAGTTTATGAATTTTTCTTTTGGTTATTTCATGGTAAAGTACAATGTAATCAATAGGAAAATCTGTCTCTTGCCCCTCATCTGGTAGTATGACATTATCACATTTTAAAATCTGAAAACTACCAATAATACGTTGAAAAAGTGAAGTAGCATATGCACTACTGAAAATGTGTGTAAATACTTTAGGAGATTAAAGATCCTATTTAAACTTTCAGAAACTCTAGTCAGGGTTTTTAAATTTTACACATTCCAAATTTGACATATTCTGCAGTGAGATATTGACATGTCTCTACAGTTTAACACTTAAAGGGACACTGTGTAACGTTATCGCCTTTAAGATGTTGTTGCTTTGCCTGGATTGTTCACAGTATAATGCTGGATGTGTCCATTTTTTATTTTAATATACTCCTTATTTATTCAGTTTTTCAAGTTTTGTGTAATAAAGAACAAACAAAAATACAACCAATACAAAGCTTGGGGCACTGTTCCACTGCAAGGATGCTAAAGGGTGAATCAAGCCTCTTTTTGTTTATATTTCAACCATTTTGTCCAGCGTTTAAAGAAGAAATGTCCTTTTAGTCACAGAAAAAAAATCTGTCGTTTCATGGAATATATTTCTTCTATAATGTCTAGCCACTGATTCACTGACGGTGGGTCCTTTTTAAGACAGCTTCTTGTTATTACTTTTTTGATGCCAATGTCAGAATCTTAAAAAGGTATCCGTCCGCTTTTTCAATCACCTCTCCAGGCAGAAGGCCTAACAAAAATATCTCCAGGTCCTTGGGGACAACATAAGTCAAGATCGTATCTGTTTTTCCAAACACATTGTCCCAGAATGATTTTAATTTTGTACATATCCAAAAAATATAAGAGTGATTGGCGTTTGAATGGCCACACAGTCTCCAACAATGACAGCTGGATGCGTCTACTTAGAATTAATTGCATTGTGGATGTTATTGCCCAAAAATACCTTGAAACGCACGGCTTGTCTTCATGGCAACTACTGTGGAACATTCCGGGCAAAGCAAGACTTTTGAGAAAAGCGCTGTACCCTCCAATAGAAAAGTTACATAATGCACCTTTAAGAGCTGTTGCAAAGATAAAAGTCCAAACTTCCATATCAGTTTCATGTGACAGCTGCTTTCACAATCTCTGAGGTGAGTTTTTGGTTCTAGTTTTTGGAGAGGACTGAAAATCTGAAAAGTCTGATGAAACTTTGTGAAGAATCTGTGGTTGATTCACAGTATGAATATTATGAATGAGTTTGAAAGAAATATATTGATCAATGTAAATACATGTTTTATAAGAAGTAGTATTTATAATGTAAGAAATATTAGACACACAATTTAAAACTGGAAACACATTTTTGTTTATCATTTCATCAATTGCACTTAAAATTGTACACATTACTTAACATGCAATACTTTTATTTACAATGAAAAACATATTTTATTGTATATTTTTTGTAATATTTAAGCTGCATTGTTGAAAATAATTAAATGATCTGTGCATTCTGAAATCTAAAACTATTTGTGCTTATTTACATCCCTCAAAAACCAATGCAATGCTATTCTCAAATAAAAACCACAAAAGGGCAAACTAGCACATAATCTGTCACATTATTTAGAGTGGCATAGGCTTGAAATAAGTGCAGTGTCCTCCAGCAGCATTGTGTTTTGAGAGAAAATTAATACTATTTTATGCCCACAAAATATCCCTTTGTTTTACAAGAAATTGCTCAAACCCACAGATAATTTATTCCAGATTTTTGGTCATTCTGTTTGAAATCAATCTAAATTTGCCTGTTCTATGTTTAAAGAAACAAGATAGATCTACAATAGAAAGGTCATCTAAGGGTATGACTACACTATCAAAATGAGGACTGACTGTGAACTTAAAGGTCCTATATAACACAAAACTGACTATTGTGAGCTTTAGACAATGTTAGAATACTGTTGCATCAAAAACATGTCTGGAATTGTGTTTTGTTTCATTTACACTTGTTTGAGTAACCCTTTATTTTTGGTCTGTCTACATCTTCAAATCTCAAATTGCTCTGTTCCACCTTGTGATGTCAGATACTTTTCAAATTAACAGCTACCTTTTACCTTTTTTCAGTAGAGATTGGCAATTCCAGGTCTGAAATCATCCAAATGATTCTAATGAAGGTATATGGAGTTTAAAAGCACAGTGGAGAACTTCCTGTAGGTGGAACAAAGTATTTTCTGTTTAAGAGAAGAACTAAGAGTCTAAATGGAGGGTTTGTGTGTAAACTGTGTAAATGAAACAAAACACAACTCCAGGTATGTTTGTGATGAAGAGACATTATAATATAGATCTGAAAATTGTGTAATATGGCCCTTTAACCTAGAACTAAACCTGGACTAGAACAGGACAGATACATCAGAATTAAAACTGGCTCAAACTAGGATCACTGCTGCCTAAAAAGTGTGTACTAGTAACAAATTAGCACTTCTGTATTGTATTTTTGAGTCATTCCACTTTTCATTAAGTTTACTACAGGTTGCTGTATTGGAAGGTGAACCATGAAACTTTTCTGATGTCTTTTGCTCGTCCCCACGGAGATATTATTGTTCTGAATGTTCCACACTACAGCAATGAATGTATCTGTTCCATCTCTGTGTAGACAAGCCAAAGTTCCAGGTCAGATCTTTGTTTTTTGTAAATTCAATGAAAGTTTTGGAAAGGTCATGGAATTTTAGTATCTCTTTCACGCATCTACAGCGTTCTGTTAAGTTCTCATTAGGCTATTATGATCCACAGTATGTATTTCAACCTATGCACCTTTTGTTTAAAAGAGATGACAATAAATGCACTGACAGTATTTTGGATGTTAAAAATGATAATACCAAACCATAAGGTGAATGGAAAGGGTTAACATTCGTATTTCATTCATATTTAGCCCTAAATGTCTGATCAATTCTACACATGTAGGGTGCTGTAAAGTCATGAAAAAGTCATGGAAAAGTTTTGAAATTCTGTCAGTGAAACAGAGTGGCATCCCTAATTATCCAGGCTGGTGCCACCTAGTGCCTCCAGTCAGTTTCATTTCTCTCCAGGAATCATAATAGACTAGACGGTTTGCACGTACCCTGGAAGTGCGAGTCAGCGAAGAGTCATACATTCTGTGTTGGCAACGATTCCTGAGATTGAGGATTTAAAGCCGGAACAAAGAGAATGTTTGGTGAATTTTATCACGGTGAAAGACGTTATTGCCCTTCTTCCTATGGGATTTGGGAAAAGCTTAATATACCAGTTAACCTCGTTAGCGGCGCATTACATACGTCATGACCAAATAGCAGCGATTGGTTAAATTAAAAAAAGTACCCGCCTACCATCGAGCAAATGAATCCTAATACTGCAAGATCAGACAGTTTCTATGAAGTGAAACCAGCTGATAAATCAGGCTAATCCCTTATACCATCTCAGTAAAAATTATTTTATTTTTTTTTACGGTATTCTGGAGTGATATAAACACTTGTTATTAAATACATACTGTGAAGCAAAGCAATATTGTCTCTATGGAGATAATGGAGCAGACGTACCCTCCACCAGAAAAGTTATAGTTCACCTTTATGTAGTTGTCTTTTGTAAATAATATTGTCAGGTACAGTAAATAATGTTCTTACCTGACTTGACCCAATGCATCACTTACCATTTTTTAAGATAACCCCATGTAAGGTGACCGCTGTTGTGATAGCG